TAGGATTAGGGCTGTGGTTTGATTTAAGGCCGCGATTGCAGTTGCGGTTCGGGCTCTGATGTTTGCGGACACTCCTGGGCAATGAAGAAGTGGCCCAATCAAGAGCACGTGTGTCGTTTCAGAGTGTCCACCCATCGCCTCGCATCCCTGGAGTGTCAGGTCCCTTGGGCGCCCTTCTCACCCTCCGGGCTCTCTGCGGGGGTGCAGGGACTGTCCTCACACATCTCTGCCTCAGGGGGGCCGTCCTCGCTCTCCACCCCCTCGGGGGGGTCCTCCAGCGGGGGGGACGCGCCCAACGCCTGCATGTGAGCCTGAGCCATCCGCTGCACCGCTGTACACACAGACACAGACATACAGGGAGGCAGAGGGATAACACAGGGACACAGGGATAACACAGGGACAGAGGGATAGGATTACCACTTTTCCACAGTATAACCAGCACTGCGCTCCGCTTCCACTGTAGTTGTTAAAGGGAACGAGACCTCGTGTTCTGACAGCGAGGCGTCGCTGTAACAACTAGCAGCTGCTTTAATAAGCCCCGAGGGTACAGGCAGACAGAGACTCGCAGGCTGTGTTCATTGTTCTCATCGAAAGTTTGCAGCACAGCTAAAGGCATGCTGTAGTTAAACATGCACCCTCCTCTCAACCAATAGGTCCAGAGCCGTACCTTTTACAAAAATATTTTTTTTTAGAAAAAAAGGATATATATGTTTCTTAGACATGTCATTTGCAGTTTAAGCCAAGAAAACAGTTTAAAAAAAATGTGAACCGTTTTTAGCAACCATGCAATAAAGCATCTGTTTATTACTGCATGTACTGTGCATACCCACCAAAGTTGTAATTGTCAACCACCCAAGAAAGAATGAGACAGCGTGCTCCTCATGACACGCTCCCTTGCAGAGCCCCATCCCTATTTGCCATGCTCAGATCCTGACAGGAGAGTGGGCGTGTCTCTCATTGACATCACTGCAGGACTGCAAGGTGGCTGCCAAGTAATGGGAGTTGCTATTTGCAAGAGAGCTTTGAGCATCCTGGCTGTTTATTCCTGCCCTTCCCAGCACAACTGGCTGAATGTTACCACTTGGGGAAGCTGTCCAGAGCTATTGAACCCATGACACCTGGGTTCTAAAGCCTGTTTTCCACCCTGAGTGAGTGTCTTTATTGGTTAAGACACTCAAGAGTCCCCTACAAACATGCTTCTTAAAATCCCCGTTAGTGCTGCAAACCAGAGATGAAGACAAGTGCAGACAGAAGTGAAGCAGGTGACTAAATGGACAGACAGAAGGACTTGATATTAGAGACAGACCATCCCATATACTGAGGAGGTGAGGAGACAGGCTCACACAGACAGATGGACAAACAATTCTGTCCCTCTCCAGTTCTGCATTACACACATAGACAGGAAGGCTGATATTCACACATACAGTGACATCTCTCTCTGTGTGCCTTTCTCTTACAGCGGGGTCCTCTTGATAAAATGCAAACATCATGCATATGGACACGAGTGAGCAAAGCAGCATGGGCACAGATTTTTTAAAAACTGAGGCAGTACGAGAGATTCCCATCTCAATCTCTCTCGTTCATTCCCTGCTCCTCCAACTGCCTCCCTCTCTACTCTCTCGCTCCTTTCCTCTGCCTCCCCTCTCTGCCCTCTCACTCCCTTCCTCTGCCTCCTCTCTGCCTGCTCTCTCCCTCCTCGTCATTATGACCTGTTTTCTCTCTCCCCTTCTCTCAGCAGCGCTGACTCACTCAGAGTTACAATCCAGTTTCTGTCCCTCAGACACGGACTCTGTCTCCTCAGGTCACCTTGCCCTCTCACCACCACAGCACTGCGGCACTGGAATCAGTGTGCTAGGGTATTCCTGTATGGGCATGTTACTGTACCTAGGTGTTACTACACTGGGGTATTGTTCTACTGAGGCATTACAGCACTGAGCTATTACAGTAGGGAGAATTAAAGAACTAAGGTATTTTAGCACTTAAATTACAATCACCTTTTGTCCGTCAATGTCTTAATTTAACTACTGTACGGTGAACAAAAATGCAGTTTAATAGTAATAGTTTGTGCAGGGGATCAGCACAACGAAACTTTACCGTTCCTGGCTTTGTTAATGAAAAAGAGATATGTGTACAATTTCATTCCTTCCTTCGCATTTAAAGGACCAACCCTTCTGCCAGGATTGACCTGTTGGGTGCACGGTCCCAGCAGGTCCAGAACCTGGCTAACTGCTGCAGTCAGTGGAAGTGCAGCACCGTGGCGACTCCTGTGAATGTGTGTTTGCAAGCACTAGGGCGAAGCTTCTCTTCTTTCTCCATCACAAATGAAAGTGCGTGTCAGTGTGTGTGCTGCAGCCCCAGCTGTGTGCAGAGTGCTGGTGGGTGGTGCAGTAATCCAGGGCTGATCCAGGCCAGCCTCACAGTCACTACACAGCTGTCACTCGACCCTAATCCCCAATGTACACACTGTGCACACTGCCCTGCCTGAGACAGCCTGAGACAGCACACAGCACAGAGAGACCGAGAGCTTCAGCAAAGGACTGCTGCTTTGGTTTTACTTTCTTAAAACATCTCAGCATAATGCCTCACGTTGAGAACAGGGAGAACAGAGTGTATTGAAACACACTGATAGCATCATGGAGCCGAGCAATAATAGCCCGAGCACCGCAAAAGTCATGCGGATTTTCTGTGGCACTGGAATCGTACCCAGTGAAAGCAGGCTGAGCCAGAGACCACTGAAGGCCAGTGCTAGCAGGTGATGATGTGAAGTGGATGTAGGATTTACAGGTTCCATCCTAAAGCACGGGGAAGGGGGAAGGCCCAGTGGGGCATGGTACTGGAAAACCAGATGAGACACCGGACTCCCTCCTGAGTGAGAGGAAAGGCTGGACACCATGTCCCCCTGAAACCGTCTTCTGCCACACAGGCACGCTCATGTGGTTTATCTCCCACGCTGGCCTACCTCTCAGCGAAGGGGGGTGGTACACGCAGGGGTTGGAGCGCTTGGGTTTCAGGATTCCATTCTCTCCTACGACCCACTGCAAAGAGAGAGACGTTCAAGCAGGGAGATGCATCAGCATGCACAGGCTGCAAAGGAACAAGTAAAGGTTCATTCCCTGCTGAAAAGAGAAGGAAAGAGACACGACGTTTCTGCTGTGCCACCTTCTTCGGGTGTGAGAAGAAGACTATGAGCAGTGTTTCCCACATTAAACCTCAGTGTGTAATCTGCATCTTGATGGGAGGAATTAACAGTTTTGCGGGGGGCATTGCTTACAGCTGTCCGTTCATGGCCTGCGTGTTTGATGGATGTGCCTTCTATTAAGCTGTAATTCCCAGCTGTTTCATCTCCTCTACTGTACCTCGTTACATCAGTTAAACCCATGGTAACTTCAGAAACCCATTTCCAGTAGTTCCAAATTTGACTTCTTCACCATTGATCAAAATGACATCAATGAGAAACAAAGGGAAATCACATTCGGAGCCCACAGGCAAGCCATTCTCTTTGCGTATGCTCAGACAGCTGTTAATTAGAGAAATGAACATGTACGATTTAACTGGGGTCGGCGTTAATGCCTGTGTAAATCACATTGTCCTTTTGGAAAACATCCCATTATAAATCTGCTCAGGGAATCACTGTGTTTAAATATATAAGTAAATAAATTAGGAGCATTATTGATCAGAGTAGAGAGTAATATGAAAGTATCATCTTCAACAATAATGCAGAGAATTTCATGGAAGTGGACTGGTCCACATGCAGCACATCAGAAACGACAAGTGTCATCATATTATAATAAGTAACTTTGAATTTTCAAAATCAGATCACTGACTTTGCCTCTTGATTTCTGAATATTTAAAGGAGCAAGAGAGCCAGCTTGAGGACAAATGATGATGGAGAGTACACTGCAATCACCCTCCAGACCAGCAGAGGGCGACGGTCTCACCTGATGAGAGATATGTTCTTCCTCTGGGGACGGATTGTCTGAAACTCTGAAGAGGGTGGCCGGGGTTGGCCTTCTGCGACGGATCTACGGACAGAGAAATCAGAATGACACACAGGTCAGCCTCGAGTCCCAGTTCACTTTTTTCAGTCCATATTTCTGTAGAAAGAAGCTACGTTTCACTTGTCATTTTTATTTTGACCAAAAAATTCCCAATGACAAATGAGGCCTGGGAACTGTAGCTCACAAAACACTGCTTTGCACTGAGATTTTGTTACACTTTATTAAATATATTTGTTGATTTTTTAATCTCTCACCAAGGATACCATTATTTGATCTTGAGCTGTTACTTGTTGTCTCTCTGGTTTTATTTTCTTAAAACACCTCAGCAAGACTTTGCGGAATGCAGCATATTGGCAGAATATACAATTAAAGGAGCTGGCAGTGCCAGATTGAGTCTCAGCAGAGACTGTCATTTTTTGGACATCTCTCATGTCATACACCAGTTTCATGGAGACGGGGGCAATGTGTTTGCAGGGACCAGATGAACCTCTGCTATTCCTATTCCATTCCATTGCAAACATAAGCTCCAAACAATTAGTTATTTTAACTCTAAGTGCCTAATTAAGACATTAAGGGTATGCTAATAAATTAAAGGTCAATTAGGTAATTAAGGATCAATTACACATGCAAAGTACTGGTTGGAATGAACATGTCCAATAGAATGGAGTAGTAGTAGCAGTCTTGTCTGCAACAGGGGGACTTACTGGGCTAACCTGCCCCCAGCAGCGCTGCTACCAGTCAGGCCCAGCCTCTCCGTCAAAGCCTGAGCAGAGTTAAGACCCTTTTTCCCCAGTATCATATTTCCTGCTTGTTTCTTCTCGTACTCTGTGTGCTGTTAGCCGTCCTCCACTGGCAGTTTCTGCTTAGCTCAGTTCAATTTGCTCCAGCAAGGAACTGCTACAGACAGCAGTCCTCCAGACAAGAGGTGCAGAAATGAGGTTGGTGTGTGTGTGTGATGGGGGTGTACCAGAGTGGCTTAGGCTGCAGATATAATGCCTTGCTCATAGACTCATGGAGCACTGGAACAATGCTCATTTTCCTACATAACTGTCTTCCAGTTCATCAGGCTGTCTGCAAGCTCCCAGTGATTAATAACACTGACCACGTAAGGTCTTCAGTCTGCTCATGTCCTGAGCCTGATGGTCCTTTAGCATTAACACAGGCGCTGGGCTGTTTTCCCACTTTTATGACACAAACACAGGGGCCCACTGGCAGGCTGACAAGGAGAGAGCTGAGCGGGTGTGTCTGGAAGGGCTGCCAGTGTCAACCTGATCTGTCCAAGCCATGATCCCAGCTCGGCTCCAGACACGCACCGCTGACAGACATGCACTGCAACGCCGCCCCCGTCTGCTTGACTTCCCGGACTGTGCATCTCTCTCCCTCTCTCCTTCCAGCTGCCCTTTCTGTCCACACCGTGGGGAAGGGGGGGTCACACCAGCAGGACAGAGAGGGAGGGGGCCGATGACGGTGGGAGGGAGGCACGGCAGATATCAGTGCCGTGTGTTAATCAGTGTCGGCCTACACCACCACAGCACTTGAGCTCTCCCCATTGCTCTGTTTTCTTTTCTACTCTTCTTTCATTTTCAGTGAAACTCGTGTGAGATCTCAGGGCAGACGTCTCTCTCCTGACATCATGCCAGGAGGGCCTGCCTGCCTCTCTCCATTCTCAGCAGTCTCCCCTTTCCTCTCTCTACCCTTGACAAGGTCCTGAGACACCAGAGGGAGGGGGAGGTGCTGAGTAACACCTTAAATCTGCAAAGCATTCCATTCCCTTAAAAAGAAAAAATCATCAAGGCTCCTAAAACTAAAAGAGACTAAGCTTTTGTAGAGCAGGGGGCCACATGGAGCTGGTGTCCTGGTCCATTTACCGAGTCTGCAGCATGCTGAGTGAGACCAGGGTTTCACATCTCTCTCCCTTTGAGGGTGAACTGACCCCGAAAATGTGGGAACCCTATATCAGCCCAGTTTGGAAAGTCTTTAGAACAGTTCCTCTAGTTTGGTTTCACAGATTCTGATTAGCCCTGAAATGTATGAGCACTTTAGATTAGGCCATTTTTAAATGATTCAGAATTGGAATATATTGTTAAAGCAGTAATAGAGTGACATTACTTTGTCACCTTACATTGTAGATTAATTGCTTTTTAATAACAAAGTCATTGACCTGATTATAGCCTGAACCATACTTGAAATAACCCTACAGTTACCTTGTTCTATTTACAATACTTTATGAATGTACTGTATGGACTGCTGGCTTAATATCCATTTATGCAAATGGATATTAGTACAATATAAGTACAAACTAATTTGTATGTGACCATTTTATCTAAATTTGCATGGAGGATTAGTGCTAAACAAGCTGCTTGAAGCCAGGACTGTAAGCCTTGTACTGTACTATGCCACTTGAAAGTGAAGAAGATTGTTGTAAGGCACAGTAGCACATGGTGAAAAACTGAATACAGTGTAGAGGTTAAACAAGGCATGAGCTCATCTCTCGAAAACCAAAACAGAGTAAATGCAGGCAATGATCTATGACTTCCTAGTGTTTCCAGCCTTGAGAAATTCAGTTAGCTATCGAATATGATTTTGCTTCACTAATCCGTTCTCCTCCCCAGGTGGGGCTGCACTCTGGTGGTGGTGGAGGAGGATCCCCATTACCTGTAAAAGCACTTTGAGTGGAGTGTCCAGAAAAGCACTATATAAGTGTTAGGAATTATTATTATTTGGAAAGGAGCGATTTAATATGGCCTTTAGAGTTTATTGTATCAGTGTTATCCAGGATTGGGCACTCCGGGACCCTCTGCCTGCATCCTGGAGTCAGTTCTGGTTGCTGAAGGAGCCAGTTACAGAAGTTCTTGCAAAGAACAGATTCATTTTCAACAAGATGCAACGGAAAGCAGTTCACACCAAACTTTCAAAAGTGCGCTTTCCACAAAATAACTACTTTTATTTAATACGTCCCTGAGGAGTTTCTTAATGACGAACGCTGGTGAAAGGAATGGATTTCAGAGGATTGTTTTTACATTTTCGAAACCCTCTTTGTGAATCCGTGTGCATGAATGTTAGCATGTAGGGAAGCAGGTGAGCCAGCAGTGACCTTGCATCCGTAACTTGACCAGAGCATTAATCATTCCCTGAGCTCACTGGGGGAAAAGGAGTTAATTGAATCTCCCAGCCTGTGTACCTGTGTGTAGTGAGTGCCCTTTCCCCTCATTCCATTCTGGAGTCTCCCGATGCTAACAGAGATCCAGGGGAGACTCCATTCTGGGGCACAATGATAATGAAAAGTCCCACTGAAGTCAAGGGCACTAGAGGACAGCTTATACTGTGCTGTTATGAAACAGACCCCTGAAATTTAAGGAGCAGAGCTGATGTCCATGAATTAAAACTACTGATTGCATAATCCATAGAGAGGCAAAGAAAATCACTCAGTTAGCCAGGCTTTCCGATTCTTCCTTCTGCAGGGGTGTTAAGGTCCCCATCCTGTCTAGGAAGAGCCTGACATGGCTGCATATTGAGATGCCTGGGAGCTCTGTGCACAATGGACACAGAAGAAAGAAGTCAAAGCTGCATTCATGGTACTGACGTCATTAACATTCCTTGTGCTCTGTTGGGCATTTATAAGAGCTTCTGGGTTAAACAATTTGTTATTTATCCTCCTTTCACAGGATGCCACATTTAGAAACAGTGTATTTTGTATGGCTAGAGGACTTTATCCTTATGCTCTTACGCGGTTGAGTTCGCCGCCATTGGAAACTTGATTATATGTTCCTGTTACGCTGGGTCTTCGTTCCTGTTGAGAATCCTGAAGGGCCGCCACCTTGTTTCCAGATATGGCCAAGCTATCCCGCAGTCTGGGGTCAGTCTGACCCAGTGTGTGGTCGTTGTCACTGCACATGGCCGTCCCTCAGTGGCCTGTGCTCCTTCTCTGAAACTTCCCTCAGCCTGATGGAGAGCAGTGAAGATGTGGGTCTGCTCTCAGGAGCAAGGACCTGGGCTGTCGAAGGGACGTGCATCTCTGGAGATTCTCCTTAATCACCTACCCTATTAAAATCACGGGAACGTCTTAAACTAGATTCATGGGCTCAGGGGAGAGCCGTTACCAGCCTTCTGCTCATGAGCCTCAGATAATGAATGCATATTAGCATTAAAGTGGAGGCCAATTCTGGCTCTGCATCTCCTTCCTTTGAGTCCAGGCTTCACTTTCAGTTCCTAAGAAGCCACGGGGCTGGCTTTCAGTCCCAGAGACCGGAAGGTCTCATGCTGGCTTAAAGAAACCCATCCTAGGCTCTCATTATACCTTTTCCCATCATTTTCCCTATTTTTAAACACTCAAGTCATAACATCTACAGACCAGAAATGGAAGGGAACTTACAGGCACAGACATCTCCTTTTCCAGTGCGCATTGGAATTCCTCATGCCACACCTAATACAATGTCACTTTACCCAAGTTTGTGTTTCAACTTCACAGTCAGCAGTTATTTTATTTTTATAATCCCACCACACACATATATACTCAATATAGAATGACCTATTGATAAACGGTAATGATTCTCTTACAGGCAAGACTTACATCTTGCATTCTCTTACCACATTCCCTTACTGTGCACAGCTGTCAGGACCTTTGGCCTTTTTTCAATCTACAAGCTGTACAGCACTCCCTATGAGGTGTGCGCACAAAGGCACAGGGGGCGCTGTTGAGTATTTGAGGAATATCTTGCGGCTTGAAACCACGACTGATCTAGCCACCAGGGGCCATAAGCCTGGTCACTCTAGCCCACTTGACTGGTTATGCACCATGGCTTGTGAAATCCTGGTCACAAGGCAAGAGTAGTACAGCTGAGGCCCAACCAGGAGAATTAACTTTGCAGGCTGAGTCCCTCAAGTGCCCTTTTCTTTTGGCTTCACAGTGGAATGCCAAGCTAAGAAATGTAGAAACTGGACTGTAATAGCTCTAGGGTCTCAACTGAGAATATTCTGCCTCTGGCAGTCTTCCTGGGACCCTGCCTCACTCTCTCTCTCTGCCT